CTCACTATTTCTCTGGAAGAGCCACATGAAGCCAATAGCAAACTCATGCTATTCGTTTGAAACAGCACCATGTAATATTTTCATGATTCTTATCCCTGTATAAAGTTAGGAGAAAGGACGGAGCACAGATCTACAGAGAAGTCAACATCCTTTTTAATTACATTGTAAGGTCCATAGAAGAGCCTATCACAAAATTTGCAAAATACCAAGCTGGAAAGGGATTCTGCCTGGCAAAAATCCAAGCTAAGGTGCTCACAGGAAAGAAACTTTTCCTGGAACTGAAAAATCTCGCACAGTATTAGAGTATTGAGATAACTGAGAGATGCATTGACCTCAAGAAATCAGCCACAAAGCACTAGAGCATTACTAGTCCATCTCCATGGGGAAAAGGAGCAATACTTTTTTTACAATACTTTTTACATGAAATACTCTTCTTTGTGTTTTCAATGTTCGAATGTCTTTTTACTCCTCCCTGTGTATCAGGAACAGTACTTGGAGGCATTAACCTTTCACCTCTGTAAGACTGTGTTCAAACCTGCTGCAGGTCAAAGGTACAATTAATTTGGCCTTTTTAATCTACCTTGTTTAGAGGACATCCACATAGCTGTCCAGCTTAGGACTTAGTATAGCAGTGTCTTTCCTTAATGGAGTGGGGAATATGCATCATCATACACTATTATATGAACAGCAGTCAGGAAGACAATATAAAACTGTGGAAAGGAGGTGGAAAAATCATATCATAAACCAAAGCAGTTTTAGCACTGCTTAAGCCATATTTGGCTTTAGTAATAACTTAAACCAAATTTCTATAAAAGTTAAGGCAACTTTTTATGTGTGTATATACATGCATACACACTGCTAAAACAGTATGTTGAAACAACTTAATAGGCTTTTAATTCCCATCATCATGCATGATACTGTGAATTAATCTGAGACATGTTTAACACTCCCTGTACATTTTTTGGATTGATTTTGGTTGGAGGTTTTTTCTGCATCCTCCTGCAAATTCAGGAAAGCAAAAGATAGGAATGCCTCTCACAACAATGACATTTTTATTCAGGATCTGATCATGGAACTCACAAATAAGAATCTACAGCCATAATTATAAGATCTGACAGTACAGGTCTTTATATCATTACTGTCTTATCATTTAAACAGTAGAGGTTCACAGGTTAATGGTCAATACAGCAGATTTCATTGATTCGTAATCTGTACACCATTGGCCAAATTTTTGCACAACTCTGAAAATGTACTGTAAAATTTCACACATGCAAAATGGGTATTTGACAGTGCCTATGTTGTTATAAGCTAACAGCTGATAGGATGTAGTCAAAGATTAATTTACTACCCTTTCCTTAATAGCATAATATTTTGGTTGTACTGCCTACCATTGGTAGATGTTGGAAGAGGCAGAATTGCCATAACACACACGAGTATCAATTTTTTTTTTAAAAAACACACAAATGAGGCATCAAAAGTGAAATGGAGGATGCAGTGGGACAGTTTTACCAGCCACCAGATCATAGATGCAGGTCACAGATGATGGTTTATATACAGCAGGAACCCAATATAGCATGAGTTACGAAAGGGACAGATTACCCACAGTCATCATAATCCCATTCTCAACAGATGTGTCTTCTAACTGATGCTGATAAAACTACCTTAGTAAGTAGAAAAATGAAAGGAAAATGCAACATAGGAGAACAGTCAGAAAAGTCTAAAATTGGAAGTAATATAATAATACTAGTGTGCAACAAGTGTTTTATTACATCAATATTATCATTTACATTACCATAAAGCACACAAAGGATGACTATTCATAATTTTAATATAAAACAGAACCTGGACTGTTTTTACAGGTACAATGGACTTGATTAATAAATTCTTAGTATAATTTACAAGGTCTTAGTATAATTTACAATAGCTGGTTGTAACTGATCCTGTATAGAAGAAAACCATATAAAAACATTCCCCCAAATGTGGTCAAATTATGTATGTAAAAGCACTATGCATCATATTAACAGGACAGATAATGCATTAAAAATACTGCAGAACTAGCTAAATTTCATATTACAAGCATACAATGGAAAGAAATTGAATACATATGCTTTCACTATGAAATATTTTCTTTAAAGCATATTGTATGCAAAACTAATCTAAAATTCAAACAAATCCTCACTCTATAATCTTCACAATAAAGATTTTGGTAATTGAATATTTTGTTCCATTTCAAATATGCCAGAGATGTTACAAATATGAATAACTATTCAATAAACCCGCTAAGTAGTAGCATTTTGAATTGTAAGTGTACAATCCCTTGTACGATCCATTTTTCTTATACTTCAATATTACTTTCCAAAAAAGATCATATTTGGGATCTGTTTTCTTTCAGAAGGATCTCTGCCAGTCAGAAGTTTTTTCCCCAGATATTTTTATTGACAGAAGTTTTGTCCAAAGAAATAAGTTGCATCCTAGAACACAAGGTGAGGAGCCTGACTCATGCAATTCCCATGCCAAATTTCCTTTAGTGACAGTGCCCTGCCCCAAAGCACCAACATTGTTAACTCCGGGACACTGTGCCAAAAGACGTTGTTATCACAGCTGTCATTGTCTGGGGTTAAAATAACACACATAGTCTAAGCTTGTGATCCAGCAAAGTGCTTCAAGTCAGGTTCCCATGTGATTGCTCTCCTGGTTTGGTCCCTATATTAGTAGCCTTTAGTCAAATAAGTACTTTATAGATCATAGAAAGGATTTGGAATGAACCTTGGGACTGAGGAAATGACAACATTACAGAGGAATCAGTACTGCATGAAGGTAATCACAGACATTGTGCAGAGGTGCTTTTGGTGCTCTGTCACCTACGTGAAATCTCGCTGGATTGGTTTATATAAAGAAAAGTCCTTATCAGAGCATGGCCTGGCTCTGATAGAAGCTGTGCTCTTATTGTAAATGAAAAATAACTGCTTACCACAGGACGCACAGCACCAACTGTTACGGACTGAAGCAAACTTCTACACTGGCAATCAGAAGCCTCAGTGAAATCTGCCACTGAGAATGAGATTATAATGCAAACATGTTTTCGGAGTAACCTGCTGTCACCTCCTCCTCCTTTTCCACACTGAGCACAAGCCTTTGCTTTCTGTCGAGGTTCTTCTTAAATGCTGCACATGACTACCAGCACTGCCAACTACTGCAAGGTACTGATGGCACAGACCCCTTCTTGTCCAACACTGAGATGCGCAAAGTAGCATTTGATTCAAAGTATAAGCAAACTACAATATGGTCAACAAGCACAGGAGCACCCTGTCCTGCTAGCTGAATATTAAAAACCAGATTCTTTCTTTGATTTTATACCTTAACAAGTTGATAGCAGCTTCAGAAAGAGCAGTCTATCGACTTAATGACACTTTTCTCTGCTTGCTTTTCTTTACATCAAAAGGAACTCTATTGAAGGCTAGTGCCTTTTTTGGCTGGTGTTGGATCACACAGAAAACAAAACATAAACAAACAGAATCCTCCACAACTTTCATAGCATACATCAAGGGCCAAACAATGGTAAACACACTACTACTGCTGAACAAGCTTGTTCAACATGCTAGATTAAAGTCATCTGAACTGCCGAGCACAACTGAGTGCACAACTGGAGAATGCTATCGCAGTTTTCAATCTCAAACCACAAGGAAGTTAAAATGGAAACTCCTGGATAGCTTCAAAGACTTAAAATAATAGGGTTGCAGCAGAAAACAAAACACTTGGCATTGAAGATATACCACAGGAAATATGTAAACCTTGGTAATGTATACTTGGCAGATTTGTGTTTATTCTCAGCTGTAGAAATATATGTTAAGGAGCGGACAGCTTTAATTTACCTTAGTCCAGAAATATCAGACATTAGAAGCAGATGATCTGCATTCAAACCAACACCAAAATCAGACTTATGAAACTTGCATCACATCTGTACCTTGTGCTAACATTAATTTTACAGAATATATTTATGTGCTTCTGTCATCTTTTAACCCTCAGATAGCTGATATCAGTAACCAGCCACAAGGCTCATCATGTTAAGTCTTCCTCACTTCAGAACATCTAGTAATTATAATCTGTACAGAATTTGCAGTATTGCAAAGTACTAACTGGAAACAATAGAAAGTCATCTATGGAAAATAGAAAACTAATATTTTTCAGCTGATTAAAGTTACAGAGTAAATTACAGGTGCATTTACATTGGCAGCAGAAATTGTAACAAGCGTTAAAAGCTTTACCTGTCTCCCTTTAGGGCCTCTTTTTCCACGGAAGCCTGGGATGCCCTGAGAAAAAATAACCCATCGTAAGTAGGTTTTCTATTCTTCAATAGGTTAAATTCAAGTAATTAAACCTGCATTTGATTGGAAAAAACAGTATGAGAAGAAGACCATTAAAAAAAAAGATTTGAGCAAAGAATCATAGAGACAATATCCTATAACAGCGGGGCAGAAACACAAACTTTGCTTGTCTTTACTGTGGCCACATCAGAACAACTATGAAGAAGGGCCATATCCTGCTTCCATCAAAGTATATGGCCAGACATCCTCTGTGCTCAAGAGAAGCAAGAAAAAGCTCAAGCACAGAGTGACAGAGATGAAGATTTCCGTGATTCATTTTATTGCAAACATCATCTGACAACTGAAAGATATTCATTATTGACTGAACAAAATTGCTTCAATGAAAAATACTCATTATGGACCTTGGTGGTAAGAAAAAATACCCCTAATCCTTGCAGGTCTAGATTAAATTCAAATAATAATTTGCAGCTGCTCCCCATTCAACTTCAGCACCAGTGCATTTCATTGATTAGACTCATTAGATATGACCTATTTATTTAATTTCCTCCACATCAGTTTTGCTTTTAGACAAAGACTTAAATGAATGGTTATACCTTGTACATTTTTTCCCCATTCTAACATATATTGCATTACCACCCAAACATCAGTATTTCATTAATGTTCCGTTAAACCTACCCTTTCTCCTTCAGGTCCTGGTTGCCCTGCCACACCTGGAGGTCCAATGAAACCCTAAAAACATAAAAACAACTCTTGATTACAAGGCTGCTTCCACCAGCACTGCTTGTCCTTCAGTATTGGCCAGCTGTGGGTTCAAGATCCAGGGATTAAATTCAGGCTCATTTGAAATTATGAGTGAAGCTCAGTCAACTTAAATGTGAGTAGGATTTACTCTCCAACTAACAGCGAAAACAATTTCCTATTATAAGGGTACAGAATCAATTAATAAAGAAGTACTAAGAAAGTGTTCCAATAAGACAAAGTTGCATCAGAGACCTTATTTATTAGAATAAATCAAATATGAAAAAGCTGCTGAAGTTAATCTTATTCATGAAATACATCAGAAAAGATGTTCTTATCTTTAATAACACTGTGTCATCACTGCTATATGCAAGAGTCCTAGAAAGTTTACCTTGTCATAAGAATGTTCTTCTTAAAGTTCAGTCACAATGCATTTCTCTCCCGCCTTCCCCTCAGAAAGTCAGAAATAGATCCTCTCATATAATCAGTTGTATGGCCACAGAAACATGCTGTTGACTCAGCAGAAATGATTGCACAGTTTACAAAAATAGTAGTATAGATGGATTCTGACTACCAGATTCAAACTGAGATTGGAACAAAAATATTATTAGTGACTAAAAAAGAACCCCTTCCTTTCATCTTTCTTTCTGCCCAGTCCTCTGATTGTAATGATTTGGGTTTTTTGGGTTGCCTTTTTTTTTTTTGAAATATGAAAGACAGTGCCCATCTTGTCATCCAGCCCTAATGAGTAAGGAAAACAAAGGCACTTCTTTTTTCTACAGTTTCTTAAAACAGCTGAGAAGCAGAGTATAGTTTGATTGCAGGAATGTTCTAAACTTAAAGCTCTAAAGATACTTCATATCACATTGCAATACACCTCCATGGCACAGCAGTATGTCTCAATAGGGCTGCATCATCATTTTTATTGGAAGTTGCTTGTAGAATTTATATACAGGACTTGGCCTTAAGACCTGACAGGTGTTTTTCCCTAAAATTACTCATACATTGGCCATTTTTAGCTTTGTGTAAGCTAGTAGTAGTGTAAGAGTAGTAGTAACTTCTCAGGAAATGACTGGGATCACTTAATGTCTTGTCGGTTGAGAGGAGAATGAGACAAAATGCATTGAGAATCTGAGCAAAAATAAACTGAAGAAATGTAAAAGATACAATCCCTGAGGGTGCAATATCTGTCGGCACTTGATCCTGACAAACTAATCTCTTCCATCACTGTAATGAAAACTAACATCAAAAAAACCCACCCCCAAAAAACCAGACATATGTTTAAGAAGCTGCTGCAGGTGAAGGCTTTTAGTGACTACATTAAAAAAACAGGACAAAAGCAAATCTAGCACTACAATAGGATTATTTTAACAGCACACTGAGAGAACACAGCACACTGCTCAGCAACCCATACAGCGTGAGCCGAGAGCCTGAAAACACCTAGCAAAAGGCTCCTTCAAATCCTAGGTGCAACCAGCAACATGCAAGTTTCTGGAAACCCATGTCTACTGCCTGATCGCGAGTCAGTCTGAAAAAACACTTACACAAGCATGTGTAGGCATGCACATGTGCCTGTTAAAAAAAAACAAGATACAAAACAAAACCAAAAAAAACCAGAAAAAAGACAACCTAGTTTACCTCCAAGAATAATCAAAAGCAAACCTTGAATCAGCAGAGCATTAAGACCCTTCAGTCCCTGGGATATACATGACTACAACTGAACCATTCTAAAATCTCAAGATCACTTTTATGGTTTTATGTGACAAGACGGTTTCCCTTTATCAACTTCTGTAGCTGTTACAGATTGCAAATGCTAGATACATCTCCGTTCTTGACAGCTTCCATTATGGAAATAATGCTTCAGGCAGGAAATGTCCACTCCTCTTCACTCCCAGCTCTCAGACACCCACATTCACGATTGCTTTCCTTCTCTTGCCTGCATGCATTCCAAGTGAGAGGAAGGGCAACAACGGAAGACTTTCTGTGCTGCTCACCATGGAAAAAAAATTAAATCCTTACATGTGTGTTGAAAGAAACACTATATTTTCTCTTTTGCAGGTTCTGTAAAGACAGAGTGGTTCAGCGGGCATACAACTGGCAGAGCTGAATGAAACACCTCATCCCCTTTCTTACATACAGGTAAAAATAGACATGCATGCCAAAATGCTTAAAATGCTTACTTACTCTTACACCTTTAGGACCTGGGTTACCTTCTGGTCCAGCTAAGCCCTATTACAAAAAAGACATGAGTTGTACTTCATTTTAAACAACCAGATGTGCTCTATTTAAAAAAAGGCAACAGTATTTGTTAACTGCAGACTGGCAATACATTCTTAAAATTATTAAGATTGAAGAGGGTGTCACCAAGCAGTCCTCTGGAACCATGTTCAGAAAGGTCTCCCATTAATTCATGGCTGAAACTTAGACAATGACTGAAACTTCCTTTACATTAAAATTATTTTTTCTGGGAGGAAATTTTTTCCAGACCCAGTGAACTGGCATTACAGTGACATCATTTCACAGGATTTTTCATAAGCTTGTATATTTGGACACATCTCCAATTATTTTCAAGCTAATGTGAGAATAGCACATGTAGTCCAAATGCGCTAAACATTTTATGTGATTCAACACAAACATGTTATCATCCACTACTATATAAAATATTGTAAAGGAATTTTAAAATATATAGCCATTACAAGCCTAATCCAATAACATGCTGAAGTATTGGTCAAATTCACCCTTTAAGCAGACACAAAACCACAAAGTCAATTGTTGAATTTGGCTCATATACCTTTATATGGGGAAAACAATGAATATTTCTACTTTGTGTCTTATTTGTTTTATTGGACTGAGGTATCTCTATTAACTTATATGTAAATTAAAAAAAATAAAATCAATATTTATATAAGTGCTTGTGTTTATAGAAAGCTGCTTTCTGGCTTTATTGGTTCTCCTTCTCAAATATCTGAAGGGGGGGGCGGGGCGTGGAATCTTTTAATGTTCTATTTCCCTAAAGGGCCGAAGAAATAATTTCAGCAGTGAAGTAAATACATCGGTGAAAATCAGGAGGAACTATACTACAACAGGTAGTTTCCTATTGCTTTTGGACTTGAAATATGAAGAAGTTAAAACACATAGAACCACAAGAGGTTTATGAAGGAGTGTGAAGTGTTTAGACATTCAGTACTTTGGTGATGTCATTTATGTATTCCAGAAAGGTACAGCATTACTGCATCTAACCCATCAAAGTTTAAAAGCCACAAGACTCAACATTACTAAAGGGCACCACCTGTGAAAGAGGTTTGTTTCAAGCATAAATGATAGGATGTAAACAAATACATTAATACTATTAGTAGTTCCAAGAGAGTTAGATATAGTACTTTTGAAAAGAACAAACAAGTAAACCCCCAAAACTGCAAAGACATTAGTATAGTTACTGCACCTGCCTGCCAGGGTAACCAACTGCTCCAATATTGCCAGCCATTCCTGGAATTCCCTAAGTGGAAAAAGAGGTGGGGAAAAGAGAAAAAAAAGGAAAGAAACAACAAACAGGTTTAATGTCATGTTTTGGACTTTATTTATTTCATCATTTCTCTTTTAACACCTAGTCATATGACACAGCTAAAGCTCATGGAAAAATTGCTTTTTAAGCAAGCTACACAGCAACACCCTAAAATTTACTCATCATATATAAGTAACTCCACCAATTTCAGTAACATATCCTTTAAAAAGCATTACAAGCAGAGTAGTCTAAGATTTTGTGAAATACAGCAGTGCACCCTGTATTTCCATAATAAAAACATAGATGCTATTTATAAAAATTAATTGAGGAGGCCTATAGGAGACAGATCCTTGTAATGAAGTAACTGCACTGGTCTTAGCTGTATTTGAACAAACGTGTTAAATGTTTCATTAAAGAAGAGTCCTTGTGTCCTTACAAAGCCAAATTACTTTGTGTCTTCCAAAATCAGGTCAATATACCATTGGATTAGTCACGAATGTATAGAACTTTTCTCCATCTTCTTCCTCCTAATCAAATCCAAGAGTCATTTTTGTTGTTGTTTTATTACTTAACATCTGCACATCTGACTGTTTATTTTCAGAAAAATGTGCTTTTCTGAACTGGTGCCAAATGCCATGGCCCCATCACTGAGAGAGGAAGCTCCACCTACCTCTGTTAAGTTAATTTGATTTTAAACAAGCCAAGTCCATAAATTGGACACTCTCCCAGCCTGACCCTTCCACCCACTGTCATTATGTCAGTGTTACCATAGCAATGGATCAGGATTTCCTCTCTGAGCTGTTCACAGCTGATTTATGGTGAAACAGCAGTCTTAGGAAGCAGAACTCAGAAGTGCAGATGCAAAAAGGGGTTGCAGTATTTTTTGTTTAAATGAGCTGCCATTGAGATGATTCTGTCACCTGCTTTCAACTGGTAGTGATTCATCTTCTGACAGATGTTCTACCATGGAACTAGGATCCATGGTCTCCTATTTTGGCTCAGCTGTACCTCAAAATATGCGTATATGAAAAAACTAAAAAAGCAGTAGAATCATTGCTTTTACAACTTATCTTTTAAAACTTTCCCTTTGTTACCAGCTGTTCAAGAGGTTCCACAATTCACAAATTCAGAGGAATGTCTGTCCTTGCTGTACAAGCTTCTAAAAACTACAGACACAATTAGATGCTACAGATGACAAGTAACTGGTCTAACTCATCACCTTCGCCAGCCAGGCCTAAAAATACCAGCAGTAAGAACTACGTGCAAAATAACATTCTTTCATCCAAAGTGCTCTCTTAAAAGTTACATCAGACTATTTTCTGAGTGATAATGAAGGAAAATATTTACAGCAGTAGTATGAGAACACTGAGACATCAAACAGTTGCACATTACCAGTTTTCACATTCTTGAACATGAATTGCCTTTGAAGGAACTTATATGCTTGATTGCATGAATAATGAGCAGAACTACTTTTCAATTTTTCCCCTCCATGGTAACTAATTGATTACTTTTCACCTGCAACTTCTTCAAAGATTGAGGCACTCTTCTCCTGATGTTAAGAATGACTTTTTTTTTTCCCCGCTGTCTATCTCTTTATCTCACTGCTAAATTATAGTCATCACAGAAAAATGCCTGTGGGCCTATAATAAAAATCACCACTCATTCACTTAAGATTTGGATATAAAACTCCTTAAAGTCATGGATGATGTTCATGAGTTTTCATCTCCCTTCGGGTGTCTCGCATCTGTTATCATCACTGTTTCCCTTTCAGTGTCATCCAAAAGGAGACTCATGCTTCCATCTACTCTGCCATGAGGAGCCTCGTTAAATGCTAACAAGACACATAAGCAATTGGATGTCTTTGAAATTTACATTCAGATTGCTTCTTGAACTGCCATGGAAGTGAGAAAAAGCAACTAAATAATAATTTCATTTTCTACATGCTAGGAGATTTAAAATGCATTAAACCAGTAGAGGTTTTGAGAGAATCCGAACTGTGCCCTTAACAAGAATTTTACACCAACCTCTGCCAAGCCAGTGTGGTAGTTGAAGAAAAACAAGCTGGTCTTTTCTTTTCATTTAGACAATTTTTTACCACACTGATCCCTAATAATCTGAATTCTTGGTCAAGAATGATCAAGTATTTCCTTAAGCAGTCACTAATCTACACTGATTGCTTATATTGAACACATATTGGATTATGCATTCTTCTATCCTCAATCGTTCATTTGTAGAGTATGGTGTATTGTGCTTTCATCACTTACCTGCTCACCACGTGGCCCTCCCAGTCCCAGATAACCCTTAAGACCCTGCAGGTGGAGAAACAGATATGTGATAAATACAGTTAAACACATAAAATGGGCCTTTTTTTGCCTACTCCAATCTCCCTTTATCAAGAAAAAAATTATCCAAACTTGTTTGCCTGCAGCATTAATGTGGTTTACATTTAGCAGCTCACATTAAAGCTGAGTTAGAGAAAAGGATTAAGAAATCTTCATGGCAGTTTAGACAATTTCAAGATATCAGCATGCTTAAAGACAGTTCCAGACTTCTACTGTTTTAAACAAATGAGTACATGGGATGCTGTCCCCAGTTACTGCTGAAACTGCAGAATTGGATTTGGTACAGTGCATTTCCCTGTTCCAAATCCTTGTCACTATGCCCTTTCTGAACAAGGCAGGGGTATAAGTAGAGGGTCATCCCATACTATTCTAGGACGCTCTCAAGAAAGACCTTCCAGGACACATGATATCTTTTTTTTAAAATTATCATAGAACAAATTTCAGCCCTTATATTATGGAATTTATATTGGTAGGGAGAATAGCCTGTTCCTCAACCCAGAAATCTTCCCTGTGGTGCTGGAATCATGAAGCTGTCAAACTTTACTCCCTGCGCATTGACCATTTCATGCATATTTTGGCTCTTATAGAAAAAAAAGAATTAAAAATAGAGTTGGAACCTGCCATCTGCATCAGCACAACTTGAAAGGGGAACCTTCTTCTTGGATGTCTTTACACTGCACTAAACATACCCAAACAAGCTGGCCTAAAAGGGAGGCTGTAACAGTTGCATGATTGATGCAGAAGCCAAGTGTCTGTTCTCCACATCCCTTGCAAGAGGTACTGGGAATATGCAAGTTCCAAAAGCTGCAGCTTGAAAGATAAAGACCAAAACAATCCTTATTCTGGATAGAAATCTATCACAAAATTGGCTTCAAAGACATTGACTGAGTAGCAGGAGTGTCTTGGCTGATGTCAAACATCTGGCTGCCTTGCAGCATAATGATACTTATTAGTCAGTAGAGATTTGAGACCCTGTAATAAGAAGGAATTCTGCAACTGATTTCAGCAGATCAGGTATCCCAAAGTTTTGGATAAGCTTCTGCATGACCACAAGAGTATTTCTGCATGAAATTAATTTTATCATCATATACAAAATTAAAAGATGGAATGATTTTGCTTGGTGATAATTTTAGATAATAGAACAGAATGACTTCAAAATTTACAATTTTGCTATTATAGGCTTGCTTGAGGAATCTTGATCCAAAAGAGATGTACTCATTAAGAAACCCAAAGGCCTCATTTTCTCAAAACCCAACACAGCAGGTGTGTCCTTTCATTTTGCTAATCACACATAGGGCATTGCCAGTTTGCAAAATTATAATGTATTCTGGCTTTAATCCTCTCCTGTAACTTAAGTCTAAATAATTTATGTATGTTATCTTGTATCTAAGGAAGCAGGTCTGCATTGCTGTTGGGGAAAAAGAAAAAAAATTATCTGTAACAGATAGCCAGGAGCTGATCTTATGACAAATCAGTTAATATGAAATATCCCAATTTACTATATTAATGCATGCCTAAACCAAAACTTTTTATTGCATGGCTAAAGCAGAACTAAAGATGCCAGCATAAGCCAGTAACTCATCTTTAGCATTCAAAATGTGCCTCAGAAAGCCATACAGTTTTTTACAGTCCCAGCCCACTCTGTATTTCATGAGTTTTATCCATTTCAGAATTTTATCCTTTCCCTATGTTTAAATGATCAACTAAAGTAGATGTTGCTAGAAGAAATCTCTCAGTAGTTTATTATTTCTGTACAAGGAGAAAAGGAAAGCAAATGCTGCTATACACAGAAACATTCAAAGAGAAGTTTATCACAATTTAGTTTCAAAGCAGGTCAGTTTAGCTCATTAACACCTGCATGGACAGTCTCAAAAGAAGGCACACAAGGAACTGTGAGATGAAGAAGGACTAATTACTAGTGTCCATGTTTCTACACAACAGCATCTTTCTTCTGCCAGAGGAAAACTGCTCTGAACTCATATTTTATAGTAGCATGCCCATATTCTTATTCAGAGTTAACGTGGCCTTAATTCATCCTAACTCATTTGATGCTGGTTGGGAACGAAGCTAAACCACGCTAAAATGTATATCATTCCAAAGAGAGAGTTTTCACACAGAGAGTTTTCCTTTCCTGTGACTTAGCTAATCCTCTTAAAATTCTTATTTTTTTATTAGTTTGGGTTTGTATTCTTGAGCATACCTATATAAATAAGACCCAGTTTGCTCTAAGTTGAAAGTGAACAAGAAGAATACAAGTTCACATGCACTGGTTTGCACAATGAAATACCTCCCAATTTCTAAAGATTAATGCTCTGATTTAAAAGCTCTATGTGGAAGAGAAAGGTTTGAAGCTTCCACTTACAGCAATACAGGCTTCAAGCACATTACAAAAACACAGCAAGTTGCAAGAATACTTTGGTCTGCGTGAGGGAAAAATCTTTACCGCCAACTAATACGACTCAGAAAAGACTTCATAGCAAGTTTAAGTGTCTGACTTCTACCATACGCCTAGCACAGTGGGACCCAGACTGAGTGAAATCTGTATATGGCAAAATGTAGATGTTACATCATAACAGCAATGACTGTTCAAGCCAAGTCCTTCCACCCTACTGGTGCCCATTGTGTTTTATTAAAATTTCTATGCATTTGTTATTAAAATACATCTGGCACAACACTGGCAACTTTGCTAGAGAGCCAAGAGGTTTCTGTAACCTCTAAAAATCAGTAGGTGAAGTGTTACACCTAATGCTACAACCATCAGCTACAGAGAGATATTAGTCTTTGAAAAGTGCTGGAAAAAAAATTTCTGGGCATGGAGTAAGTCTGGCATATAAACAGATTTCCATGCACTGTGACAGGAGCCTTTGCAATGCTTATTTATCAGCTCCACGTTGTCACCACACGGCATCCAGTTTTGAAGAACTTCTTCATTGGCAAATGGCTTAGTAGGGTTGTTTTTTTTTCTTTCATAGCTCCATTCTGTCTTGTTTGCTGATGTTTATTAACACAACTAAGATTTCACCTAGCATCTCTCGGCCGGAATATCCTAATGAATGGAAATATCCCTTAAAAAAAAAGCCTACATATAGAAGATGGACCTTTTCTCCATCTAATTCAGCAGAGGAATTTCTCTCAGAGTTGAAGTTTCCTCCTGCTCAAGGAAAATTGCACTCTCCAGGAGATGCGGCGGGAGACAACTGGTAGCATAATGTTGACATCACCACAGGTACTGCTTTGAAATTTATCTACCTGCCTTACCCTTTACAGGATACAAAAGTAAAGACAAAAGGAAATACGGAGCCCTTCTCAGGTTGCAACCAAGTTTTTTCCTTCAACATGTCTTGTCATATTATACTTCAGTATGTGAATTTTATCAGGATTTTATAGGTCCAGATTCCTGTGATTTACTATTACTATTACACACATATTAGATAGGGAATAAAGCTAGCCCAAAAATTGTAGCCAATCTTTTAAAAAGTCTTTCCCAATGTCATTGTAAAGTACCTGCAACCATATAGGCACTGCAGTCATTCTAATGTATTGGCATGATCCCGGGCAAGTTAATACCCAGGAGTACTGTCCGGTAGCCGACAATCTACCCCCCAGTACTCTGGCTAGCAGAGGCAAGTACTCGCCTGTCTGTACAGTGAAGTAGGCCCTTTTTGGGTAGAGGGGGAAGGAGGGGACTTCTACTCTGTGAGGTCTCTGGACTGATATAAGAAAAGTTTTGAGTGCTGATTTAAAGATGGCCCTCTCAAGACAGCTCCATATGAGATCCGTGCAACTGCTCTGGAAACAGCACTCTCCTCAAACTTACCCTCATCTCCCCCCATTGCTTCTCTGCTTCAAACGATGCCTGAAAGAAACAGGCCTCTAAACACTTCATAAACATGCAAGTTTCTGTTCTTATGCTAGAACAAATTTGGAGCCCTACCCCGAGCAAAACTTGGCTTTTTATAGTGTGTTACAGGCATGAGAAATATGTCATATTTTATATGCAACCACAAGGATGCATACTCCGACACATGGCATGTAATGAAAAATAAAGTCAATCACAATAATCTGTTCTCAGCGTCCTGATTATTAACATACGTTTGTTTTACTATCTCATTTAAAAAACTGTAGATTCTCAGCTTTATAAAAAGAAACACATAATTTTATAGTTCTAATCCAAAACAGTAGTTTACTAGTGCTTTTCTATTGCATTGAGGACTTCAAAAAAAAATTTTTTTTTTTTTGGGTAAAACGAATCTTTCCAAGAAACTCTCCTAACATGATCTCAGATATTCAGAAAAACAGAACCAAAAGCACATGGAATATGGCTTCTCAAAGTCATTCTTGACAAAAAAAGTGAAAGCAATACGCACACTTGCTTCAAACTTCCACAACACATGTTTTTGTGTAAGTACCAAATAACGTTGTACAGGCAAATTCTGACAAGAAAACTTGTTAAGCACAGTGTCCTCCACAGCCACAGCTACCCTGGAGTGGGGCGACCATGCCCAGTGGAGGGCAGCAGGCATTGCAGCGCACCCTCCACTTCAGCTCTCCAAAGCCCCCACCCCAGTAAATGGGAAATGGATGATGAATTCCATAAAGAAAAAAACTCAAATTTCTAGGTTTTTCAGGAAAACACTGACAAAAATCAATATGACAAAAAGTAATTACCATGAAATGAACATAGATTTGTATTACACTGTTAAAAATATCTGAAAGAACAGAGTTTTTATTTGCTATCAAATATCTCACTGTTTAGAAACTACTCAGTTAACACAAGCTGACTGTCAAAATCAAATGGAATTTGGGATACCATTAACTCATATGTAGGATTTTTTTATCTTCCTTTTTACTTGGATGAGAAAGAATATTGGAAATATGTTATTTATTCAATATTATAGCAATTCCCCAGTAGTACTGGGGTACAAAACAAAAATGGAAGTACTTGATTTTTCTGCAGTTTTTTCTTGTAGATGGTTTACTTCACAGCTACTTGCTCACATTCCTTTGAAAATAATTTCTGAGATCACAATGAGCTAACAGCGTGTTTATCCATTTACGTATATTGAAAAGTAATAACTAAAGATCAATTATTTAAAACACAATAAATTGTGGGCTTGTCATTAAAAAAATTAAGCATGAAATACTTCTAACTGTTTACAGGTGTAGCGCTGTTCAAAAGCTGGTATTCTTTCAATCCGAGTCAGGCAGAAGTTATCTTAAACATGGTTCTAGTTAGTGTCTGATGTGTACAACATGGAAACAGAGTAAAATTTCCAGTGATCAGCTGAGTACGATTCTCCACAGAGTCTTTAACCCTCAGATAAGGAGTGAATTCTTGTGGCAGGAAGAGAGCATGATGGCCGTAAGATTTTAATTTCCTTGCCCCCAAATGTCAGTCTCATAATCCAGAACAAGTGACAGCTGCTTCCGATCTAAAAAGCTTTAAAACAAAAACTACTTTGTTTTTGGAGCAAAACTATAAACCTAATGAAATAAGAAAGCACAATACTTGGAGAATCTCAAGGTAGCCCAAGATCAGCGGTGACAAAAGCTATCAGTGTCCAGGCTTGTAGGTTAAGTCTCAACAGAGGGGATGCAAATTCTTGTCACAGCTATACATTTTCTCAGTTCATAGAACTGTGGGCCACATGTCTGGCAAAATAAATTTCCACACTCCTCCTGGAGCTAATTCAGTGATAGCTTCCTTTTCTGGTCATATTTTTACTATGTTTTGGTCAATTCTAAAAATGAGTGACTAGACTTTTTAAAAAAACAAACTATATTTACTCCCTCAGTCTTCTGTGCTCATTTTCTTAAGGTTGTCTCATTTCCTCTATCGACATCCTTCATGTTCCCTTCCCAAAACTACCTGTCTGCCTTATGCTTTCCTGTATACATAGGACTGCTATAATTTGGATATATTTCTTAAATGCAGCGTGTGGCACCTGACATTTCTCATATTAAAGAGTATCGCGTTATGTAGCATCCAAAATTGGAACTTATTCCACCTGAGTTCTATTTCAGCAATTCTGGTACACATTTGGGGGAAAAAAAAAAATCAGTGCAGAAATACTGAGCACATGATCCCATGGAGCTTTTTCTATGCTACAAAATACACAATATAGAAAAAGAAATGAAAAAATTATTACTGAAAATTGAATATAATTGATTTAAAAATGGCTGTATCTCGCAGGCAAGCCTATCTTCCCTAGTACCTATTCGGTTCGAGCAGGGGCACACCATGCCTTTTGAAGGACACCAACCTAAGCAGCTGTGATTTACATTCTGTTGCCATGATCTCACTTGATCTAGTTGCAAGGGAAGGTTTTGCACTGTTGGCCCTGGAGCCTGACACAGACAGTCACAGTACCAACAGCGGGCCTAAAGCCCTTTTGTTGCCTCTTAACCACCAGACATCCACCTGATAGCCATGGATTTGAGCCAGAGAGGGTTACACAAAAATGGCAATAGAATCTTACCTTTTGGCCTTTGGTCCCAGGTGGGCCTGGAAAGCCTATGGGGCCTGGATCACCCTGTACAACAAAAACATCCAGAGTCACTATGCTTCACTGGAACATGACACAGGGCTATAAACATGTAGGACTTCATATCTTCTCTGCATTCTTGAACACTTGGTATGAAGAAGTAGCTAATGTTGTTTTATCTGGCGTAAGTTTGGGGGTTTTTTTTAGAGGAAGAAAATTGAAAAGGCAACAGTTCCTCAACTGCAACCACCTGGTGCAATATGCATGCTCCTGCACCATCCAAGATGGCCAAATCATGGCTGGAACAGACTTAGTTCACAACCTTACAACATTTACTTTTAGCCAACATAAACGGGAGTGAAGAAGCTATACAATTCTTGAGGTAACCCTTCGCTGAGAAGTGAGTGGTTTCACCCCAAATTAATATATATTATATTTAACTGTTACTGTTTATTGTTTGTGTTACTGTTATACCAACAATCCCCAACCAGGAATCAGGACACCATTATGGTATGTGTTGCATAAAACATAGCATAAATCTAATATGTGTAAAATACAACATGAAAGATGCATATAGACAAAAGTGTTATGGTGACATATGGCTGTTCTCATTCAAGTTCTTTAAACCTTGCAACTACATGATGGTATATGTGAATGAGAATTAGAGCATCTCAAATGCTAGGCAGCTGGAAAAAGATGCATTTTCATATGGTTGTTGCAGTTGGGGGAGGAGGGAATGTTGTTCCAGTTCTTTTTTCCTTGCTCAGAACTCACAGTGAAGAGACTCACTCTTTCAGGATTAGTGCCCAAATTCAAATTCAATGAGTCCATGAACAGATCCTGGAAGTGAGTTTGCATCAAAGAAAATTGAAGTCCATTACTTAGGGTGAGCAAATTTGACTTGGGTGAAAAATTAAGAACCCAAGATAGTGAGAACTATAAAAATGCATATCAATCCCACATTTTTGGATTATAGATTCATTCCATATATATTTAGGTGTATGTCATACATATACATAGGTGGGCTTTAAACTTGGGCTCATGCCAAAGAATATACCTTGAGTTTCAGGTGGACACATACAGCTCACAACACTATGATTAGATTGCCAAAAGCAAAAGCTGGTTAGCTTAAAATAATGTTGCTATTTCTACAAAAGCTGCATTTCATTTTTTTATCAGACACATTTCTGAATTTTGCTCAGCAGCCCTTTAACATTGAAAATATATATTGGTGCATTTTATGGTTTGACAGAATGTATCCATTAAAAAAAAGTTATTTTATGTACACATCGGCAGCTAGTAAACAATAGTTATTTGTTAATGCTTACTTCATTACGGAGAGTGGTCCTGGACTCTTACAGTGTTTTCTACTTAGCGCAAGTGTTCCACAATTGAACTACTAGCAAATGCTTTTAATAAAACTTAGCATAAATACAAGATATTCTAAAAGATACAGCGTAGGCTAACACATTAGAATGCAAACATGCAATTACTTTTTTAGTGTTATCACATTGTTTTTAAAGGTTCATACATAGTCAGTAGATTTACAACCTAAAAGTGAAATAATCACAAGCTTTCAAGCCCACAATTTCTGTGAAGAACCATTTTAAATATTTATACTCAAATATTTTGGACAGAGAGAGCAACTGCTAGTTTGGCTAAAGCAGCTTAGGAGGAACTCGCAAGAAAGGAGTGTGAAGTGTTCTTTCTGAAGTGAAAGGACAAATCTTAGCATCAAGGGCTTGTTAAAAAAGCGGTTACATGCAACACGACATGCAATAGTGTGTGCACTTGCATCACCAAATTTTGTCTGCCTTACGCAACTTTCTATGCAAGGTACTAATGCAAGGTAAAGAGAACTGGAATCTGTACTTTGTTATATCAGTGCAAACAGAATTCAAGTTCATTGTTCTAAAAGTATTTCCCTTTTAACTTTTTTGATTTTATTTTTATAATTGAGTATATCATTTAAGTTTCAGCTTTCAGTATAATTTGTCTTTGGTTCATTACATCACCTGTGTCTGCACTGGTCAGTCTCACACAATAAAGTGTCAAAATACACCAGCGTCACAGTAAATACAAAGTATTGTGCTGTTATAACTTGTCTGAATATTAAACAAAACTTCAACAACAGAATGGGACAGACAAAATATTTTTCTATAATTAAGAAAATATTACCTTTTCTCCACGTTTTGCCTGTCCTGGAGAGAATCCTGGGTCTCCTTTAGGGCCCTGTTGCAGAGAAATTAAGCTCATTAATATCATCAGGGAAAAGAGTTTTTACTAATATATGTGGAAACATATATTTTCACAGTTATAGCAAGAGGAGGGGAAACATTCATATAAAATTCACTTGTTATTACAGATTTTTTTTTTCTCATAACTTTTTCAGTAAAGAACTACGACAAAATCTAATAGTGTGAGTTCACATCAAAATGAGATTTACATTTTCCAAATTTCATAATGTCACAAAAACATTTGATAAGAAGATTTTATTGGTAAATCTGAGCAGGATTACAGCAGACACCCCAGCTGAAATGCTCTCCCCATGCCTCCACCACTTCAGGACACCACGTATTCCCCAAACACTGTGCAAGATTATCGGGCTATATTACTGCATTGATTATAATCTTGCCCAGGCTTCCTCACGCTCAGTACCTTCCCCACGCAGCGCAGACATCGCAGCTGTAAACATACAGCGAAGGCCTTTGTTCAATTACAAACTACTTCCTAGCAGATGAGACAGCTCATCATTTCTGGCCAGAAGTTACCATGTGCATCTGAGACTAGGCTGCAGAGAGGGTAAAGACGCTGCCACACTGATCTCTCCTATTTCAAATCCCCACTGCCAGAGCCCGCCGCCACACGAAGCGCCAGGCGCTGCAGGGCGACAGGCCACAGAGGCCTAGGGCCTGCCTGGGCCGGGAGCTGGGGCTGGTCAGGGCCAGCAGGGGCTGGCAGCCAGCCCTGCAGAGCTGTTGGCTACCAGCAGCTCTGCCACCACAGCAAACCTGCACCCCTCATAGTCAAATTCACGGCCCTTAAAACAGGAGTCACCAGCAAAAGGTACCTCCTGAGGGAGCCCTGGGTGAACTGCTTCACGCTGACTAAGCAGTCACCTGGGGAGTTCCCAGAGCCATAGGCTGAAACCACATTCATGCGCTAACAACTAAAAATAAGGTAATTGAGGAGGAAATGGTGAACCCTTCATCTAATTCACGCTAAAAGTCGCATGCAAAAGGCACTGTAACATTTCATTGACCTGTTCATATAAGTGGCACAGGCTACAACAGTGCTCTTGATTTCAAACCTGTAGAATAACACTGGGTGTTACTCACAAGCATCAAGATCTACTCTTCTCACTCAAAAATACATTTTACATAGCCAAGGAAATAAATGTTACTAATAAAAGTTATCCCACAGCAGCACTAGGTTAAAGATTATACATGCCCTTCATTGAAAGAGAGCTAAAGTTGGGACAAACAGCTGTTTAGACATTGCCAGCACAATCCTACTCTCGGGGGCAACGCCGGCTGCTCAGAGGGACATACAAGACAAGCAGCGCGAGGCTTCCTGGCGGTCAGCCATTTCAGACCTGTGAAGTCGCGGCTCTTACTTGAAATGCTACAGGGCCTGATCCTCCTCTTGTGTTTGGTACTGCAGGTCAGGGGTTATCCTTCCCTCTGCAGTTAAGATTTGTGCGTGAGGCCACTTGAGAAACTAAGACTGTTGAATACTAAATAAAGCCTGGAAATATCGCAAAATGAATCTGTTGTGTTAAATTGATGTGTCAGGTCAGAGAGAACACCATTCCTCAGCATGGCAGGAGTTATCTGAGTATTTTCCAGCTAATTTACCTTTTGGAAGGTAAATAGTTATATTCCTCGAAGAACTCCAATCTGTCTTCTGCTTCCATTTTCCAATGCAGGCATATTAAACTAAGAGTTGTAATAAAATCATGATCGGCTCTCGGCTAGTTAAAACACAGGCCTCTGACAACTTACCCATAGCCTTTCCTTTCCCTTATAAGCATAATTAATTCCTCATTATTTTTAATCAAAAAAACAAACAGCCATTGTTATGCATAGCCTTCAGTTATGGATTAACAACATGTCACCACAGGTCAAGATGTGAGGATAAAATAAAACACTTCATTATTTAATCTATGTAACATTACAATGTAGTTAGAACAGTGCCAGAATCCACAAACTAGGTTTTCCTAACTAATCTATTTTTCAGAGAGCCAGGAATACAGCGAAACCTCAAGAATACTTTTAAATGACTTTACAAACACCCATAAACTCTTTATCAGGAATTAAATGCCGAGGACATCAGCTATCGGTTGGAACTGCTAGCACACGTCCAGGGCTGGATACTATACTATAAGTGTATTAGCTAACGTTGTTCCATACTTCAAAAGCAAGTACATAAAGGATGCTTCAGCATAGGAGGGAAAAACACATGCATCTCAAAGGCAGAATAAAATTCTGCCTTAAGTTACTGCCAGAAAATTGTTGCAACTCGTCTGCAATGTTTTAAGATCAAACAAAAGTATTTCAGCTTACATAGTCAGTGTGGGTCAACTGGATCTTCATAGTCAAAACTCGGTGAGCACCTGGCTAATTTTTATTTAAAGAAAAGTGTTTCAGAAGACACTTGGATTGAAAGAATAATTTATAGTCTAACAGAAATGAAAGATTGCTAAGCACCTAGTAACATATGCATATATATATATTTTATATATATAAGTACATGCACACACGTAGTTCCTTCTATTCTTAAAATCATGGTGACAGCTACAGAACTGATCAGGATCATGATCCAGTGGAGGGGGAAAATACATTATAAAACAAATCCTAGGAGTAATTGGTTACAATTATTTTCCTAGAGATGTATTATATTATACAGCCAGCGTAAATATTGTAAAAAGTAATTATGAATCTCCAAGTTTAACTGTTCCTACAGAACTAGATAATAACAAAAGCACACACAAAAAAGAGTCACTTGGTTTTGTAGTGTTTGACACTGAAAGCTTTATTAAATTTCTTTTTATGTCCTCGAGCAGTTTTTAAACACCTGTCATGACAGGTCAGATTCCTGCCATTAGGAATCGCACTAAAACAAATCATGATTGCTGCTGGTTTTTTTCCTAACATATCTATCAAATTGCTCAAACTAAATATGAGTTGAAGGCATTCTGCAACTGCACAAATCTGTCAAATCTATTTAAAGGGCTTATGTTACACAAGCTTGAAGGATTTTATTTGAGCTTCCAGTCCAGTATTTTTTCTTTGGTTTTAAATATCACATGCATAAACCTTCAGAAAATTATTCTAGCATATTAATCAAGTGATAATGTCCGAAATATTAGAGTATTTAAATATCAAAGGTTGGGCACTGACAAAAAAGAGGAATTTATAGAGAATGACAATTTTTTTTTTTAAAAAACAAGGCAAAAGGTTACAGCAATTAAATGTTTATTCTCACTTAAATTCCAGTTTATCAAAGAGGCCAAGCTGATGTACAGGAACTCTTCTGGAAGTACAGACTACTTGCATGGGTAACAGTTTCCAGATTATCATTCTGCACACACAGGGTTTTTTTTCCCCCTGAATAAACTGCTATTTTGTTTTGATTTGAAGTTCAATGTGATTGATTACATTTAACTAAAATATGTTTATAGTAACAGTCTCCATCTGTAAACCAAAGAAGGCCAATTGCTTCTATTATAGGAAACAGTTTTGCAGCTTCCAAAAAGTCATTAAGAAGTTCATGTATTTACATGGCAACATGGATAAATTAACTCACCTTTGGACCTGGCAATCCTGGCAAACCTGGATTACCATGTGGTCCTGGAATACCCTATAAAAAAAAACAACAAAACAAAAATTCAAAAAAGAGTGGGATTATTCAGTACTCCACTGAACAAGCGTGAACAGTTTGCAGAGAATCATTTTACTGCATCATTGTTGCTTTTAGAAGTACTGGTTGGGATTTTCAAAGGATCCTCAAGAAATAAAACATGTACATCTTCCTAAAAAAATTAAAAGTGAAGTTGAGTACTTCCCTTTCTTTTAAAAACCTCAGTTTCTATTGTCTTCCCAAGCAATTCTTAACAGGTATTTGGCACACAGTTACTGCAATGTTGCTCTCCAGGTACAAAACTTGGAGGCATGGGATAAAATCAGAAAAAACACATTCTGAGGTACCCAGCTATACACTTCAGAGAGAAGTAAGTGGATCAGTTCTCACTGACTTAAAAGATGACTCAGAGCAATGTATTCCACCTTCTCTAAACAAATCACAGACAAAAACCCTTCACCAACCTGATTCTCCCACAGTCAGTGTAAAAAAATGGGCTTGTTACTAGAAGAGTTGGACTTAAACCATTCCAGGAACAGAATAAGCTATCAGGACTATCTACACCTTCCAGGATAAGTGTCTGTTCCCGCAATACACTCAGCAATCCTCACTCCTTGACAAACTGTGCGTTAGGGAAAATATTTGTTGCAACGGCTGTCAGAAGCTATTCATCTTCCAAACACTGAAAGACCAAACTGGTGAAAACCCATCCCTGGTAAGTTGGCAACAAAGCTTTTGTTGAATTCACTAAGGCCAAAATTCCACCCAAACAATTAATCCAAATACCAAAAATAGTAAGAATCCTTTTCAGCTTTCTCATATATTCAGTGGTCTTACAACAGATAAAGGCAGCTTTTGTCTTTCCCTCACATGAGACTGAATTTACTGGTTACACCTCACAGTAACACTGAAAGCTCTATCTGTTAAGTGCTCCCTCTCACTAATGACAATGTTGACATAACTCCATAGAAATGCTAATCCCACATGCTGTTTGAGACATTAATTTGCACACTGGCGACTTAGGAGGTGCCCTCAGGGATTTAGGAAAACGGAAACAAATAGGAAGTGCCAATGTAGCTGCAGTGGCTCCTAGCTTTTGCTGCTACACACAGGTGCAAAAGTATCCTTGTGAAATGAGAGGCATCAGGGGAATTTCATCTCATCACGGACTAATTCTGAAATTGCTGAAATTTCATTATTGAGAAACTCAGAACAAACCATGACACTTAGAAAACCTTAACTGTCAGATGTGGACTTCTCTACCATGGAATTACAGAGCTCAAAATCAGTTTCTAATGGAAATCTCGAACCATTAATCAGGCATTGATACCATGCCCAAAGTGTCCAACCCATGTGAATCTCTGTCAGGATCAAGTTTGGACACACACCTGAGAGACCCTGAAGAAGGCCCGGGCAATGCAGCTCCGCACTCTGCTGCTTCTCTTTGACACCTCAGGTCACATTTCAGGATCACAAATGGCAGCTCATGTGAAAGAAGACAGAAGTCACAGGGCAGACTGGTAGATGTGGACATGAACTTTGCATCAATGAAGTTTTATGTGCTTTTTGGATCAAAAAACTCCTCTACCATACTGTGTATCTTCACTAGCTATACTTGCTTGAATTTATCAGTGTTGTATGAATTAAAGAGCACTGACATTTCAAAAAAGCTTATTTCTTTGATCAAATAGTTTTATAGACTTTCTCGGCCCATATAAATATGTATTTTAAACTCAGAACTACTAGTAAATATTCATCTCTGCTATTTCCATACTCTTCCAGGCACCCTACTGTAAGCTGTCTCCTCACATCGGAAAGCATATCCTACCCAATAATTAATCCAGAAAATTCACACAGTAGAGCGCTGTGCTCTTAAGTACTCTATACCTATAAAAAAAGACCTGCAGAAAAAAAAAACCAAACCAGCAACAACTGAGCAAGAGAGATCTCACCAACAGGCATGGCTTTAAACATATGGGCAGCCTCCTCTAAACCAAAGAAAACTTCCCACTTGTGAGGATCTACTTGGGTATGTGGGATCCTGCCTCTGACGCCAGACGTATCCTCGACAGAGGCACTATGCAACATAAAAAGCTGAGTTGTAAGAATTGTCAGCTCTTACGTAGAAGGATAATTTGAAAAAAGGATCCAAGAAGTCAGGATGATATGGATTCGAAGGAATGCTTTTCATTTTATACTTTCAAATGTGTCTCGTCCACTCCCTTGTCTCCAACTGCTCTGAAGCATCAGTTTGGTTTTCGGCCCCTTTGACCAGTGCTCTTTCCTACCCAGTCAGACCAAGTTTTGAAAGCCAGCAAAGCACAGGATGTTCAACACTATTGAGCAGCAGTTTGTTTAAACGTTCCTCAAAGGCTGAGTCAAAACTCCTCCCACACGTCTGCTGAGCCTTCATGTAAACCACTCCCTTATCTCCCACTTGCGATTTGCCTAGATGAGTGCACTCCAGCCATAACCACTTACATCCCCAAATACTATGGCCTGAAATCTTTTACATAACAAATGCTAATCTGTTCTCTCCAGCTGCCCTTCCCTAAAACCCCCCAAATCAACCACGATCTCAGGGACTCCTCAAACATTTTTTTTGTACATAGTTGTGCAAACACAGATTTACCCTCTTTTGCCCCATCAACTAGTCCTTGCAGTGGCACAGGCTTCTCCCATGCTTTTGGCAGCTGGGGCGCGGGGTTCTGCTCACTGTGGCAAAGCCTGTGGTCTGTTCCCTGGCACAGGGCAAGGCTGCTGTCCCTGCTCATGTTGGGGTACACCCAGTCACACAAAATAAATCAACATTTGCTCATTCCTTGGGCAAATTACCCAGATAACTATCACCTCTTTTATCAAGCTGCTCTAACACAAGAGACTAACACAGATTTTTGGGAGTGGTTTTTTTTCCCCCCTCTGTCTTGCAGTGGTTAATTTTGTATCCACTGCCTGCTCCTCTGTTGCTGTGGCATGCATTGCTCACTCCCCCTCATTCCAAAAACAAATGAACATGACCTTAGATTGCAGCAGATGGGAGCAGCATGGAAAAACTACAAGTTAGTATTGTGAGCAGCAAAAGCTAGGTACAAATGTAACAATGCTCTGTGTATGCGCCCATACATGGAATTAACTAAGCTGGAGGCTGACAGCAGGAAAAAACTGTTTGCTTTGCCTTATTTTAACCTATCTGCCAAGTGTTACGAATAATACACTTTCATAATCACCAAGCATATGAATAAAGTTGAGAAAAACAAAATTATGCAAACTCCAGTTTGATTATTGGTGACCTGCCTAGAGTCACAGAAGAACTTAGCCGTTTTACTCACCCGAGGACCTCTCTTTCCTGATGGACCAGGTAAACCTGGAGGACCCGGAGGACCCTGGTGATAGAAAATCAAAACAATTGAGCCTAAATCCGATACAAGGACAGTATCACAAGTCTGAATCAGACCAGTTCTTCTAACGGATGACTTTCTGCTCATGCAGACCACCTCAGCTTGAAAACCAATTCCCAAACTACAAGCATGTGTGTTTTTAATCTGGCTCCAAATCAGATTTCTGTTTAGAAAGTATCTTATGTCAGAAGAATTGGAGCTAACACTTAATTGACTTTTACTTAAGTCTATTTATATTAAAGGAAGAAGAGATCAGTTCAAGGATTAGAAACAAGCAAGTGCAGTGTATTTCAAAACAAAGAATAGAAAATAATTAAGCCTTTTTAATAAGCATGCTGGCATGCCAAACAACATTTTAGAAAAGTCAAGAGTAACTGTGAAAAAATGAGATACTACTTCACAGAAAAGACAGACATGAAATAGAAGAAAATAAACATGGATTGTTCAGTTTCTGTTAAAAGCTTCTGATAAGAATAACTGGTAGCATGTTTGCCCTTGTATATAATGAAAATCATTCTTTTTAAAGAAAATGCAGATTTTTTTTTTAAATGCTAGTACATAGCTAGATGTATCTTTTGCAAATAAAGTAGATTATTAGTCACTATAAGAATATAGACAGTGTACCACCCTCTGTATATCAGTTGTTTTGACCATAGAAACCTTTCCTTTTCTGTATGTGATTGCTGTTCACATTCAAAACCCAGGATCCACTTCATTGTACTCAAATACAAATGAGAGCTCTAGACTAAAGTCTGCACTAAGTTATATTACATTTCATCTATCACACTTGAGTCCTAAGAAGGCATGAGCTATTCTTAAGGGTGAATTCAGCTCCCATCCAAATGCCAGCACAGCAAGTCCCAGCTTTAACAGAAATCAAGTACTCCTACCGCAAGGGAAAATAGGCATCAAGAAAGTCAGACCCCATGAAGGAGGTCAGTCGACGATAGCAGGAAGGGATTCAACTTGCTCTTTCACCCAGGCTTCCTCGCACTCCTGTGTTCTGTATATACTACAGCTCTCAGCTGAGGCACTAGGCAAAACACTGAGTATCATACTGCCCATCACCAAACACCACTGCTGAAAGCTGGCAGGGATACCAGGGAAATCAGAAGGGCAACTATGGTGGCCGAAATGGCCAACTCGCAGGCTTTGCAAAAAAGGAAAAAGAGAAGGAAAAAAAAAAGAGGAGAAAAAAGACAAACACCCTTTGGGTTTTTATTAGCAATCAACAAATCATTTTATTAAGATAAAAGTTGCATTTTTAAATACCTAAAGTTTTGTGGCAGTGGTATTTCTTTTTCCTTGGAAAGATAATGTCACTGGCAGAGAAGACAGTGCTGATTACGGACTTTAGGCATTGTCAAGCCAATTAAATTCATTTGGCCACTTTGGACAATTCTGGGAAAAACACTGTTCTGAGGAAGAAAAAAAAAGATTTTCCTCTCCAATTGATCATAACAACTTTAGGAGTCTAACTGTAGTGCAACTGCCTGTTTATAGTTGGGAAAATTTGTATGTCCATACATACTGCATTAAGTCATGCTGAAACCCATACCCTGCACTTCCCACTCTGTGTAATTTAGAAGACACAAATCTGTGTTACAGTCCTGGTCTTTAGGTCTAACTGTGACATGTCATACTTTTAGCACAGGAGGTTCTCTATTCAGCCTGATTGCATAAATGCTCACCAGCATCCTCATATTTTTCTAAAGTAAAAAGACCCTCTGTTTAATAACTACAAAAAAAGTACCAGACAGACACAGGGAAAGCTCTTGACCTGGCATTCTTGCCCAGGTCCAAAACCACACCTGAAACAGCACAGAGAGCTCCCACTCTGCCACTGCTGAACTAATACGCTTTCTAATCTCTCCTCTCAAATTGTAAGTTCAGAGAAGCACTTTGCTTAGAAAATTATCCTGGGGCTACAAAGGGAAACATACTATATTTTTTATTAAGTAAAATAGTTGCAACTAATGTGCTTTCTTTTGCAATTTGTAGTACAAAGTTCATCTTTATCCCTATTTCAGACGCTCTCTACATTTCCTTAAAAATACCTTAATAGCCAAACCTCACCATTTTCCTAATAGAAATCTTAGTGACTATTTATTAACATCCCTGATCTTTGCTGCTGGTTTATTGAATAAGAGCAGTGAGAATATTTTTGCCTACATGACTTTTAAATTTTTTTTAAATAGTACCTGCTTCCTTTGCAAAAAAAAAACCACCCAAACAAACCCCCCCCCAAACCCCTCACTTTGATTACACTAATTCACAAGAAAGAAGAAGAAAATCTAATCACAACCAAGCCCTCAGCAACCCCTAAAAGAAGCAGTAAAATGTATTTTGAACTATGCAGCCAGAGATGAATAATGCTTTCTCAAGGCTTTCTAAAACAAAGTCAATCGTTGTAGATGAAGTCTCTGGTTAACAATAATCAGCAATTAGCACCAGCAATCCAGGTGTTTCACTAAAGTATTAACAAGGACTCTCCTTAACCAGAGTACATTACTTCTTAATCTCCATTCTTAGACTCCTCCCTGCAACAAAACCAACATCTCTGCTGACAGCAGACTTAGTAGAGCACACGCAAGACTTCCTGGAAATGCTCTTCCAACTAGTTGTAAGAAGTTATTCCACCCTATGTACTTCTTCAACATGTGAAAGCAACTACAACTTCAAATCAGCATGACTGTTTTTATACTAGCTAAGAAGCTATTTATGCCTCTTAAGGCACCCACATAAGCCATAGAAGTCAACTTCTGAGAGTGAGCAAATCTCTCAAACCAAGGAATTAGTCACTTGTTTGAATAGCTTTTCCTCCAACTACTGGAAACAGTGATTAAACAAACCTGAAGCAATTAAAAGTGTTAATGTGGTTTTTTGCATTTGAAATTTTAACCACCATGAAAAAAAATAGTGACTTTGTGTAAATATTACTGCCAAATTTAAAATTCTTTTATTTAATAAGATCAGTTTGCTCAAAACAGATCATATGTACCTTAAGAAAGGTACTACAACTTATTGTCCTTAGGAATTGTGAAAATTTCATTTAGCTATTGAGGGGAGAAGCTCCAGTTCCAAATAATCGTGGCTTAATCCTGAAATAATAAAAATAGATGCTACTCTTCCAGAAATTTTCACTACCTTTCAAATGGTCATTGGGATAAACGTAATGGTGAACTTTCACATTTTCTAGGATACTGAAGACCTTCTGTGGATGCATGTGTTTTAAACTTGCCCTATGCCAGAGGTAATAGGAAGCATTTCATTTATATATAACAAGCCCCTAAGATTTCAGATGCACAGCAGTAAATTCTGCATTAAGTAGTTAAAACTTCTACACAGGCATATGCTGATCCTGTTGCCATTCAATACCTAAATCATATTCCCTGAAGTTTCTCTTGCAAAACATCAATGAAGTTTCTCTTTAAAAGGCATTTGACTACACCCCAACCACAGCTCACCTCAAACACTTTTTTAAAAAAACAAAATTAAACAAACATATGAGTTTAATGCTTGATCCATCAAATACCTAAGGCAGGTGGTCCTTCAGTAAAACAAAAAGACATGATCACCCAAATACCTGAACTACAGCAGTGAAGTAAACGGGAACATGAGGCTCCAAACCTCTTCTAAAAAACTCTCCACGAAAGGAAATTCCACTTCTAACATTGCTAATATCACTTGTTCTATTGTGCAGGTATCATTCTGATTAGCCATGTTTTCCTTATGTCCCACCTAAAATTTCCTACTCTTGTCTTGCCATACTTTCTGTGAACAGGAAAAAAGTACCTTTATTAACTCACCCTTTGCAGAACTATAACATTTGTCCCTTAATTTCATTACTAAACACACTTTTGTTTTAACCTTTACGCAGAATCATATTTTCTATAACTGCATCACTGTTACTGCAATCTTCTGCAATCCTTCTAGTCTGTCTATATCCTTTTAAAGCTCACCATGCAAAACTGAGGACACTTCTCCAAACTGCTGCCTTGGCATACCAAAACCAGCAGAAAAATAACCTGTCTCTGATACCCACCACTCCTGGTAACGTATCAAGCATCACAGTGGTAAGATGCATTTATTCTCTAGTGCACTATACATCACTATCACCCTCATCTGACTGCCTAACCAATCACTTCCCCACCCTCTATTTGTACTTTTAATTTCTGTATTATTGCACTAAGTTTCATCCCTTTAGTTTTAGGCCATCTGGAATTCTGATTCTGTCACTCAGAATTCTTCTACCTACTTCTAGCATGCTTTGTCTACCTTTTTAAAGCATATTACTTCAGACAGATATTAATTTAATTATTGGGCAACAAGGATACTACCAAACATGAACGTCCACCAGTTTTTTCTTCTTGCTTCATTTGCATTTCACTGGAAATGATAAAAAACCCACACACTTCTCTTTCCAAATGCCCTAGAGCAGTAGTCACTTCTGTATGATTAACCTCCTTTCTTTACAGCTGTGGAAGTCCTTCCCTTTCTCTGTCAAGAATTCCTACAACAGGCAAAGCAATGTCATCAACATCAGAGTAATATATATATATATATGGCTTTGGGTTATGGATTAAAGCTTTTCAATATTGTGCAGAAGATAGGGAAACTGCATCAGTTTCAGGTGAATTAAAAGAAATGTTTAAGACTAACATTATCTTTTTGCTACTAAAAATAAACCAGCAAGAATCTTAAGTTTTTATCTGAATTGGCAGATACTGAGATAGATTTCTCAGCATGGGTAGGGAAACGTGAGGGTTTCATGCATTTTAGCTCTGCAGGTAAGTGATTAACTGCCCAATATATCCTCTGTGGCTAAGGAGAGCCTCAGCAAGCAATTTTGTTCAACTGAGAAATAAGCTAAGAGTGAAATCTCTGCTGATGCTACCCTTACTGCTGTTTATTTAGCACCACATTTAGGATCTCTGAACTACCCTCTTTCAGGGCTCTCACCCTCGCACCTCTTGGTTGGAATAAGAGCATCTCATCCAGGACTCAATTCTGCCTAATGCAGGGCTTGCACTTCCAATTCGTCCTGGCAGTATCTCCAGACCATCTCCTTACCAAATAGATAGCCTAAGGAACACCACCTTTTGGTCTTCTACTATTTCTCCTCCCGGCTGAGTGTCTTCATAATCCAGAAAGCTTTTCCAATACAGAAAACTAATTCCTAGCTCATTTCTCAGAGGAAGCCAAATCCTGTGCAGATAGGCCTGCAGATGCAATTACTTACCAGCAACTAACCTAAATCAGCTCTTCAGCTCACATCAACCCCTCCTTCTACCACTGTGGGACTATGTATCATGTTACTGCAAACTGCTTTAGGACTGTGCAATGAAGAATAGCAGTTTGAAAGTTAAACAGTTAAAAATACACACCAGACTTACTATTTTTTTAATCTTCATACCTTCTGCAACACAAAAAGGAGTGGTTCATCAGATGAATGGAGCAGCTTTCCCTCTAAACTAGTGATTCAGGAGACCACACTGTTCTACTTTAAACTCACCTTGTATTTTTGTAGGTGGTTTTGGTCATTGCAACTGCTAGAATTTTAATCAGGGTTTTAATAGTTTTGAAGAAATAGGTGCCCTTTTCCATATGCTATCCATAAATGAAAGCCTGGATTCTGAAGCCCTGCTTTGCATTGGTGGGTGAACTCCACAGCTGTGGGATCATGGGGCCTAATTATACAAGGCAAGAATCAGTTCTGGTAGATGATTAAAAGCTAAAACGAAGCTGAGGAGTTTAAGAACCACAAAAGCTAGTTCTTGCCTGTCAACTCCAATAGAACGAACATTATTTCTGTGTTGAAATCTTGAAAGAAGGTTCAAACCAATCACAACATAATGAAAGAAGAAAAAAAAGGGGGTGTTTCATGCCTCATGAGGATTTTTTGCTCAAGGGAACTTTGCAAGTTTCTCAGTGTTGCTTTTTTAGGCTCCCCACTGATAAGACTCTGTGGGCATTTATGAATTAAAGTGTTAGAGCCACACAGATAAAAGCTGGATTATCCCTGGTCTTCCCTACATGGGTGTACTAGACTGAGAAAGCAAACCAAGACTACCTCTTCAAGTCTGAGGCCAACAACAGTGCCAGGTACTGTGCCACGCAACCTCCATGGAGCACAATTCGTTACAAAAGCTTACGCGGACAAGGCCATGCAGAGGCCTCTTCTCCCTTTGGCATCAACCTCTCTGGCAATACAATGCTTTAGCTTTGCCTCTGTTTCAGTGGATGCTGCTAGCCCCTTCAGCCAAAGTAGTGCCCGCAAAGGTCTAGATTAACTTCCCAGCTCTGCCACAGATCTCTAGGACCTTGGGCATGTTATTCAAATCCTGACCCAGCAAAACAGTTCAGCGCAAATGCACCACACTAATTGCTACAGACTATACCAAACAAGGTCTGCTCTAACTCTGAGAGGCATAGAAAATGGTAACATAGACATCTTTGAACTCTCGAAATCAACTATCAGCTTTGATGCTGTATGTATAGTGTCTGTGTCTAGAAAAAAACCAGAGCATTTACTTGAGTTTCTTAGTAATGCAAACAGCCAGCAGCATTATCAGCAGCCATTTCTGTGCCACGTAAAAAAGCATGGATTTAACTTTCTTGGCTGTAACTGACTGAAATCACAATGTACAAGATATGTGCTAAAATTAAAAAGCTTCCATTAGCAGTTACTAAATGTCCTAAGCTCCAAAAATGGAAATTAACCTCATGTTGATGACAGCTACATACTTGGTGATATGTCCCCATAAATACTATTGTTAAGGGACAAAAAGAGAAAAAAAGACTAACTTCACATTCAGAAAAGATTAAGCAAGAACACCCCTGGACCAACGTGAATTACTTGTTAACACATTTTTCAATTGTGTAACAATCCCTTTGCATCTGGATCCTGTTTAGAGTAAAAATTGGACTTTTAAATAGGTTTTCAGTTGCTGACTACCTTAAGAAAAAATATTTCAGTGCTGAAAGAATACACACAATAAATTTATGGGCACATTCAAATATATATTAGGAGCTGCTTAACACATATCAAATTGCTTTCCAGTAATAACCACACAAATGAACACACACACACAAAAAGAGCAAGTAGAATTATCTACTCCATGCTATGGTTTAAAAATTTTAACCAAAGATTCAAACAAGCACTAACTATCATATTTCCCAGGCTAAGCAGGAACTGCTGTTCTTTCTTGTCTGTAGCTTCACGTATACTGCTCCCATTTTTATATATCAAAAAGTTTGAGCCTTGTGCACACAATGAGAAAGGACAAACGGGTTTCTATTAAAAGCACTACTGCGCATTTGCAATTGTTTCAGGGATCACTTACCCTGTGAACTGAAAAAATGCCACAAAATCTTGTAAGGCTGTTCTAGAAATCATTTTACATGCAGGTTTGCGTGACCCTGTAACCTTGGGTTACAAATGGTTTTACCAGTCTAGATTCTGCAATTGATCTCTTTCTACAAGTATGAATTTTGAAAGCATTGCTCAACTGAGAAAACTATGTCAGTCTTCCAAACAGCCTGGTTGTTCTTTTCATGGACCAGTGTCTACATTTGTGTACTGCATTAATTTATCCTGTAATTTTATTAAGTGAGCAGTCTCCATAATTAGCAGTTACAAACATCTGGCTGCCTTTCAAATTTTAAAGAAGTCTGGGTTGCCTACCACTTCACCAGAATGTGAATGTCTTGAATGTCTTTGTATTCTGCCAGTAAATAAAAATATACAACACTTATACCAAAATTACATGCGGGGAAAAAGACATACTTAAGGCAGACAAACATTTGTACAGTACAGCTGGGAGAAGTTGCAGTCACAGCTTTGGCATGCTTTGCGAGGTTTCTTTCAAAGCCTCTGTTAAATGTATATTGCTGCATTATAGTAAAGAGAGTAGTAAAGGTAACTTACAGGAGGTCCAGTTTCCCCCTTTGGACCTCTGACACTTCCCATTTCAAACATTTTGTCAAGATCTTCATAGTCATAAGCATAATTATCAATACCAATATCATAACTGTTTTCCATGTGATAAGTCTCATCAGCATCAAATGCACCTTCCTGTCCTGGACTGACTTGATTATCCAGAGAGGGGACAGCAGGCAAACCATACAGCGTTGTGTTGAAGATTTGCTGCTTTTTGCTTGGTTCATCTAAATGGTGTTTTGCTTTGTCCGCTCCCTTGCTTTTAGCTTTACTCTGTTTTACAGGGGAGTTCAGAGAAGGCTCACTTTGCCTGCCTGCATCTTCTGTGGTATTATCTAGAGTATTTGGATATGATCCTGTGAGGGTTTTAGTGACGTATCTTTTTTCACTTGTCGCCTGCTGAAGAGGCAGATTGACATTCTCCTGGAGTTCTCTTTCAGGCCAAGCTTCCAGCAACAGAGGTTTGGCCTCAGGAAACTCCGATGCAGAGAGATTTCTTGACTCAAAGTATTCTGATAGAAAGTGAATCTGAGCAACACTGGTAACAGGATTGTTTGATGTTTCTTCCCTTCTATAAGCTGATATGCCTTCTGACTGGTTTTTCTCATCAATCATCATCTTTGAAAAAACATCCAGGCCATCTGACACATGTGGAGCTCCCAGCAGAGATCGATACGTTTCAGCCTGGCGACACTGCTGTTTCACATATTTACAATAGTTTGCAGAGGCTTCTGCAGAGGGAATAATATCTAGCTGACATATAACTCCTTCAAAGCTGACAGAGTGAGAGTTCATCCTTCCCAGGGTAAATAAACCATCCAAATCAAATGTCTCCACTTCAGAAAGTATTTCCCTGCTATAGTACTTCCTTCCGCACTCAGCAAATATCGAGACAGTCTTGTCGCTAATGTCAATGGCAAATGAATGCCATTGTTCATTATGAACACTATAATCAAAGCATACAGACTGCTTCCCTCCAGTGTACACCACTACCTTTCTTGGTAGCAACTGGACACCAAACTGCAGTCTGCTTTTGTTCCTAATACTGAAAAGGAAAGCATTATTTACTCTGTAAGAGTACAACCCAACTAATATGGTGAACTGATGTCCTAGATTTGATGGTATGACTTGAGTGATGGGTGACTCAATATGTGCATCACTAGTTAGTACAACTCCTGATACGGTTAGACGAACACCCTGAGGTAACAGAGATGTTGAGGGCACTGTCGTCTCTGAGGGCTGTTGAACATCTTTCACGAGGCCTAGTTGATGAAGAACATCTATTGCTGTAAAAAGAAATAAAGGCATACTGTTGATTTCGTTTACAAGCTCATAAATTCAAATCCATATAAACAAATGTACACACAACATCTTAACAAATCTGTACTTCCCAGAGCATATATACTGCACACAGCAAGGCCACCAAATCCCTGTGTGTAAGGCATACCAATCTTTCACACAAATCAAACAAATAATTAAAGCCAGAACAAAATTTCCATCTTAAAAAAAAAAGAAAAACATGAAAAGTCCACGTAATGCCTGTTGTAGGTTAGTTCATTTATGAAACTGCAAAATCCCCATTTGCTGTCTTCAACTTCTTCACAGTACTCAATGAACACATTTTGTTAGTTCCTTAGTTATTTGGCTAATCCTGCCTACTCTTTGAGCAGATAATATGTTTTTTTTTGAACTTCAACTTTTTCTTCTGCAAAAACCTTCTGCAATAAAACCATGCTTTTCCTCTTTATCAGAAAAGTTTAAATGAAAGTATTTGGGGGGAAGGTTGCTTCGTTTTTAAGAAGAGACTAGCTATTTATAACACAGTAACACCTCAGTGGAGTACAAGAGAATAGTCACTGGCTCAAAGCAAAACACAAAGGTAAGCCTTGCTGAGTAGCTAGTATATGATGTAATGCAACTGGTACCCGGGAAGAATTGCTGTGCTTCCACCAGCGAGCTTTCCTCCCGCCAAGCAAGGCCCTGTGCCATTACAGAGCTGGCTTCAAAGAGAATTGTTTTCCCCGTGGGATCAACCTTGATTGTACGTATCTGTGCCAAAGTTAGTCAGACTAAAAGAAAACACAGATCTTTCCAAGGGAGATGCAACAGAGTGCACCACCGCCACCTGCTTTCCCTCCACACCGTTTACTTGTTAGGGCCAGGGATGAGGTGAACTCTGCAAAAGCAGAAGTGGTGATGAGCAAGGAAAGAGGAGAAATGTCAGGACCCAAGGGGCAGTGCTCCCATCTTCTGGCTCGTCCGTCCTCCCAGCGAATGCAAGGCTGCAGCTACCCAGACAAGATATTGAATTAAGAGTGCATTCCACAGCAGTGGATATTAAGGAGACAGAGAAACCAGCTGTCCTACTGATTTATGTCCTATAGATTCAGCTTTGGCATACAGAAGCCTGGATAAGAGAGCTTCCTACAGGGTGGAATGGCTACTGTTGGATTCTCTAGTGTCTTATATAAAGTGAGATTTCCGCTTTCGACCTTTCCTTAGCCTGGACTTTACAGTATCTCTATCTTTTACCTGGCTAAGTATCTTCACCTAATGGGTAGAATCACAATTATCTAGCCTCCTGATAACTGAAATCATATCTGACCTGGGGTAAGAAATCAAAGCCACTTTCCTCTGAAAGGGTAAATCAATGGTCAAAGATGACCGAATTCATTTGGTATTGCCTAAATCAGATTTCGGCATGTTGGAGTTGGCGGGCATAAACACCTTCCTCCTTCAGGATGAATGTAAAGGCACTGTTAGATCCCTTACGATGCAGCTGAAACAGAAACACTACAAAGGCTTGAATAGGAGCTGAACCGCACGTCCCCAGCAGTCTTCCTGTAGGGTCGCAAAATAAAACGGCACCTATGGCACTGATTGGTAAAACTGCTTGTCTGGGTGTTTGTGAAAGGTGCCACAGAAATACTGCAGAGACAGAGAGAAAACGCAATCATAGAAATAAGAGACAAGAAGGTTGGGGGCTAAAACGCGTGACATGAGAAAAGGCTGAAGGAGCTACATTTGCATGGCCCGGAGATGGGAAGGTTTAGGGGAATCTAATTACAATTGTCCATTATCTGAATCGGGCTTATAGGGAAAACAGAGAAAAGCTGAGGAGTAACAGGCACATGCTGCAACACAAGAAATTCCAGCGCCATACAATGAAAAAGCATCCTCACCGCAAAAGTGGTAAGTGCTGGACCAGGGAGCCAGAGACATTGTGTAATCTCCATTCTTGGAGACTTTCAAAGCCCAGCTGGACAGGACCCAACAACCTGAACTAAGTTCAACATTGACCTGATCTCAGCAGGAGGTAGGATCAGATGAATTCAAGGTCCCTCTAACCTAAATTTTCCCATTTTCTGCACAAGGGGAAACTGAACACTGTAGTTTTCATAAGCAGCATTGCACAGAAGCATACAATATCATCTTTTTTCCCCCTAACTGTAACAACTGGCTGGACTTAAGCTTTAGTGAACTGCCTATATTAAAAATGACTAGTAGTATCTAACAGTTGCACTGACCTAATAAGCCTGACTGGGAAGAGACTGGCACTTTCCATAGCATATAGCCGAGGGTACTTTTACTATGCACATTGTGCTTATATTAAGTAAACAAAGCTATTAAAAGGCATAACAAAAATTTGGCGTAACCAAGAAAAGTTAAGGATTCTCTGCTATATTAAGAGAAAAGAGCAACTGAAACAAACGGATGTTCACCCCTTTAGTGGAAAAAAGGTCTCCTTTCCCAGTCCTCCCTTTCTCTGTTTACTGAATGTATTCATAGCAAACTTCAAGAATAGACAGATGTTGGCATAGTTTCAGTGGTGAATTATGAAAAGAGCCCGAGATTTCCTTGAGAGTGGTTTATAAATTGGAACCAAAAGCATCAACCTGAATGCACTATACATCTTGAAAATTAATTACACACCTTGTAGTGTTTCTAGTCATGTCTGAGATTCACAGACAGGCCAAGATTATCCTGGCGGGTAGCCAGCGCAGACAGAGGTATGGAGAAAGCGTATCTTTGCAGAAAGTCACATGTACGCCAATTTCTCAAGATGTTTTGCCTCAGAGCAATTAATTTACTATGGCTGTATTTTTATCTGTCAAACTGATAACAGAGGTCAGGTTATAGTAGAGCTTCGAAGCACAACGCATCTGCTAATGAACCACCACGCTTTCCCAGGCCCCCGGTCCTGCGTGGTCTGCATGTAGTTATGGAGGAGGAAGCTGTACTTGTACTGCCCTTGTGAAAGCTACGAAGAAACACAGGTCCTGAGCTCTGGGCAATGCAAAAGTCTTACACATGCAAATAATACCCCAAGGCTGGAGACACCGCTCCAGCACTTCCATACACTGGTGGGCCAGCTGACTGCACAGAGGAGAATAGCTAATAATCTAACCTAAGGTTGTGCGTAAATAACACATCCTAACCTGAAATATTTGGCAAGTACTTGCATTTTAAAATATTTGTAATTATATATTTGCATTTAAAAATAACAATGCACATGATCTGTCCAAAGTATTATAAATTGAAGTACTAAACAAAAAAACTTAAACTGGCTTAAAACAGTCAATTTAGAAATGACGTTCAAGAGTATCACTACTAAATCTCAAACTGCAAGAAAAATTGCCAAAATTTTGGCAGTTCTGATTTGAAAACAGCACATTGTTTAAAAGTTATTAAAAAAAGAGAGCATGATGAGAAATATCTGAGAGCATGATGAGAAATAAGACACATTCTCCACACCCTGCAAACAGATTTCTGCAAACAATGACAGGTCCTGAGAAAGCTAAACACAAATAAATGCTGTGTGAAAAATGACAGCAAGAGATTTAAGTATCAACTAATTATTCCTTGCTGACTTGCTGCCTGTTAACCCACCATCAAGCCAAAAGACTGTTCCAAACTTTTTTGGCCAGTCGTTTCATTTCTGGTCCAACATGTATTTTTATTTTATTTTAAGGCTTTCAGAAGCTCTTGGCAGTACACAGAGTTTTGGGAGCAGGCAACTCTCTCAGCTCTTCCTCCCAGCATGACAACCACTATTTTCTTTACCTATCAGTAGTCACTTTTCTTTGTTTACCATGTCTGCACAACATCTGTCTTCACTTACTGTTCACTCAACCCATTAGTCCCCCAAATTGTAACGGCTCATCTTCTTGAAGGAAAACTTGTTTTGGCTTTTCGGTGTCAAGTACTTTCCTTCCACCTTCTAGGAGGACCTGAAAAATTCACAACCTTACTGCATCATGAGGGGAGAGAAAACCTAACACGGGCTTTGGCAAAAAAATCTTCTGACCCTGGCACAAAAAAACCCAAAAAGGAATTGGGGAGGGATGAGGGGATTTGGCTATTTGATCATTCCACACCCCTATTCTGTTCAGTCTCTCTTGTTCATTTTCCACATTCCTCCATATTGATGACTACTCTGAAGGCAGGATATTTGGGGTGCTCTCTCCATTTCAGCAATCCTAGCATACACATTACTTGCTTTCTCTTTACCAGTATGTGTAAGGGAAAGACAAGGGTCATTCATCAGTCAGCTCCACCAGAACTGAGAGTAATTACTCATCAGGTTGCCCATTTCCTAGGTGATGCTGCATCTGCAATTGGGTAAATTAACCAGATATGTTGATTCTGTATGTCCTTGAGCCACACTCAAAGTACTATTCCTAAAGGTTGAGGCTGTATCTTTACATATATTTCTCTGAACACAATTTATAGCAGCCTACCAAAATGAACAAGGCATAGCTTCTCAGGTAAAGCATGCACAGGCTGTCCCATCAGCTCGGGAGAGAAGGAATGTTCATTACTCTAGCTAGCATCTTCATATTTGGCAGAATACTCTTTTTTTCAAAATACAACTGCCAAGAAAGTTTTAATAACAACTTAAGTGTTAACATATTCCTAATGGGCAGACAACCCTGTCCCTGGACAAACTAAGCACTGCAAATGGAATAGTGCTAGCTCTGCAGGTTATATACTGAGACTGAAGGATACACTTGAGCTGCTCTTTTTTTGAGGAGGTTTCCTCAGTCTGCTGTTCTCCGAACTGCCTTTTGCAACCTTTTTACACATTGTGCAAATAAACTGCATGAGGGACCAAATTCACCCACAGGCAGAAAGTTGCATCAAGGTTCAATGCATTGTTTTGATCCCAAGCAAGTACCTAAAAAAAAAAAAACAAAGTTGCGTATGGCGTCTGTGCACGGGGGGTGGAGGGGAGTTTCCATTCAGTAAGGCTTCTCATATAGCTATCTAGAAATCCTGTTGAGTAATTTAAAAAAAAAATAGGAAAGCTCCTTCATCTGCAGGTGACAAAATAAAAAAAATAATCAAATATAAGCATGTCAAGACTGGAGGCTTTACCCCATTTCTGCAAAGCTCTGCACATGGAGGTACCCTCAGCCGAAAGGCAAGTAAGGCTCAGACTGTCCCCACTCCCCCGTGCCGCCGCCACCCCCCAGTCCTGTAACCTTCACAGTCCTCGCCTGTAGTTTTGTTAGAAAAGCAATTCTCAGGCTGAGGCACATGAGAAGTGAGAGTAATTGTTTATTTCTTTGCGGAGGAGGAGGGTGGGCTGGAGGGATGAAGACAGCTCAAACCATCGCTGCACACCTGTCTCTGGCATCCCTCACCTGCCCCTGCTACACCGGGAAAGTGCAAACTGCCTCCCTAAAACAGCCTCTTCCCTTTCCATCCCTGCAGGCGTGGAGCAGGGCAGGCCACACACATCTATGGCTGCTGCCCCTCCTCCGATGAGAACTTGGCTCAGCTATTAGAAAAATCCGGGAAAATCCCATCATCAGGAAAGGAGATGTCCCCCATTGAGCTGAATGTGAAAAATCAACAACCAATCTTACCAGGCAAACAACGAGCAACTAATGGAAGGCAAAACTACAAAGAGAACAGGGAAAAAAACCTGAAACTGAAGAAAAAAACCAAGCTTTGCCAGTCGCAGGGAGTGATGAGAAGGAAGA